AAGTGAAAAAGAGTAGAGAGCGCCGTCGCTGACATAACTCGGCGCCGCGATGGGGACCGCCGAGCGGGAGGATTGTCCGTAAAAGGCTCGCGCATCCTCGCTTTCCGTATAAGCGGACGAGTTGGTCGCGGCGAATGCCGACGTTATTTGCTCGTTTGCTCGGCTTTCGACGCAAAATCAAGAGGCGGCCCAGAGCAGGCCAAAGCAGGCCAAAGCAGGCCAAAGCAGGCCAAAGCAGGCCATCGATTATCACGGAACCGAGGCCGCGGAACGACATCGATCGCGCCCGAGAAAGGCCGTAGTGATAGGCATTTCCGCCGCGAGCTGCTGTCCAATCGATCGATCGCTCTGCCATCGAAGCTCACTGGCTCGCCGAGCTTTCGACGGCGGAGAGAGCTGCTGTCGCCTTGCTCGGCCAAACTCGATCCCTTGCCGTCGATAGCACGGAGCTGTTCATCCGCGGATCCGCGGATCCGCGGATCCGCGGATCTGCTCGAGGCAATAGCGAGACGAAGGGGGCAGCGTCGGGCGCCGAGAAAACAGGAGAAAACAGGAGAAAACCGGAGAAAACAGGAGAAAACAGGAGAAAAAGGCCGAGTCATTGCGCCTGCTTGCACCTGCGTTAGCTGTACCGATGGCTGTGGCTGTGCCAAGGTCGCGCGCACACGAAAAACTGGCCGCAGCCGAGTGACTCATGCCTTCGGCTCGTAGCTCGCTGCGTGTTTGGGTTCGACGACTCGGGCGACTCTCTCTTCTATTCGACCAACATGTGGATCTGGACGCGCGCCCTCTTCCGTTTGCTGCATTCGAGAACGACCGACTTTCCAAATCGGCATTCCGCATCGGTCGACCAACCGATCGACTCGCCGCCAGGGCCGAGCGCCCGAAAGCGTTTTGGTTGCGCGTGCACGAGGGGGCTCCGAGCCGCTCGGGGCTGCGTCGCCAAACCAAGCTGTCGGCAAGACATTGCTTTCGGAAGCGTGCGCGTAGAAAGCCGGCCAGTCCCGGCTTTCCAGCGGAAGCTGCAGCGGAGTGAAAGGGGCGGCGCGGGCGGCCGCGGAAGAAAGCAGCCTCCGTTCGGACCTCAAAGTCGTGCTCTCGGCTGCGCTCGCCGCTCGCCGCTCGCCGCTCGCCGCAGAGCCGTTGCTAGAATTAATAGGCGTGGGATGCGCGAGCCTTGGAAAAGCCTTCGAAGCGCGAAAGTTGAACGCTCGCTCGCAGGCATACGCACGCGGCCGCCGAGCTCTCTCGCCAAGCGTGTCTCCTCTTCCCGCCTCGACTTGGGCGGACGCGCGAGCCAAGTACGCGAGCCGCGCAATTAGGCATCCTCGGCGCCGCTTCCTGCCGGGTCCGAAGTCGCGCGCGGTCCACCGGGAGCCCGGCCGGACATCGGCGTGGCCTACTCTCGGCGTCCGGCGCGCTTTCTTTCGCTCGCCGAGCGCCAAATCCGAAAAGTCGCGAGAGCGCACTCGGGGACGCGGCGGCGCAGAAAGGAGCACGAGAGGAGAAAAAGGAGAAAAAGAGGCCGAAAAAACGGCGCGTCGCAGCGGAGCTTTCCAGTGCGTTGGGCGAACTGCGCACGCGTCGCGAAAATCAAGCCGATCCGCAGTCGCCGGGGAAAGGTGTCACAGTTTCGACGCGAAGCCCCACTTTTCTACGCTCAACTGGGATCGCCATAGCTTACAATCCAAAGTCGGATAGTGGAGCACACGGGTTACGTAAGGACGCGAGACACTGCTGTTGCGTCTCGCGCCGCCGCCGTTGCCAATGTCAGCGCGGCAAATTTACTCACGGCTTGGCGGATAGAAAGTGCGTAGCTGCGACAATGAGAATAGGAAAAGCCAGATCGGCTCGTGCGAATAATTAGGCGGACTTTTATAAGACCCGTAATAACACACTTTCCGCGCGGAAACCAGCGAGAAATAGAAAGTTCGAGCCATCGGCTGCGTGCACTTGTCGCCGTGAACCACGGAAACCAATGATAAGTCAGTCCGTCTCAGCTGCGCCTGACAGTGAGCAGCGATTGGCCCGCGGCCCAGTGAGCCGTTCTCCGGCCGACTCTCGGCCGGCGACGCGACCCCACCGGTTGTCAGTTCTCAGCTATCGATGCCAGATTTTGCCAACCGGAGAGTTCAAGTTCGCGTGCAGGGCGGCTCCTCTCCCCGACCAGCGGACGGACGAAGCGCGTCGAAGCTCGAAACAAGGCAGCTTCGCCGGTTCGCCGATCGACGAGCGATTGCGTTATGTGGTTATGTGGAGCGAAGTGAATGGCCGCCGTTGCATATGTACGTGCACGCGCGTAGCGTAATTCATGCTCAGCTGGCGCTCGGCTACTAGTGCCGACTGCCTCCTGTTCCCACCTTGTCCCCTTGTCCCCCTGCCCCCTTGCCCAGAGGCCGTCGCTTTCGATGCGAAAACGGAAGTGACCAAGAGCGAATCCACGACGTCGAGTGTGCGACCTAAAAATAGGCCGGATAGAATGTGGGACGAGTGCAGCGGATTTCAATGGCCCGCGGGCAACACAGCGGCGGCCAGGGAGAGACACACATTCTCCGTGGCGCGAGCCGAGAGAAAGGTGGTGCAGCTGCGGCGGCGACGGCGGCGGCAGCAGCAGCAGCAGTGGCGGCGGCGTCGACCGACTCTTGCCTTTGCTGGCAGTCGCAGTCGGCCGCGAATATCGATTGCCTAGGCGCGCGCAGCCTCTTGGCTCCGCTCGGCCGCGTTGCGCGCACGTGCGCTTCACTGGTCCGCCGGCGCTAATTATTTGCCGTCTTCCGGCCGTCGCTCGCGGCGCGCCGACGATTTTGGCCGCCGACAGCCAACTACCAATTGATCGCACGTCCGAGAAAGAAGCCCACTGTGCATGCTCGGCAACAGCCGAGCGTTGCTTTTCCAAGTTGGGCAAGTCTCTCTCCCGCTGTGGCAACGGCTACGGCAATATCTTCGGTGAACCGACCGTCGCACGTTTTCCCGGAGCAGTCAGTCACTGACGGTCGAGAGCAATAGTGGACGAGCACCTGGCAATTAGCGGGAGCGCCGACGCGATTCGCGTAATAAACAACCATAAACAAGCATTATGCAGCCAGAGACGCGTGCGAGGCGTTCGTTCACCTGCGCACGTCGCGCATCGCGGATGACCGATCGCCGCCCGGACTAAGCGCCGTCTCTTTCTCCCCGGTATCCCTGGAATCCCCGGAATCCGACTTTGCAGGGACGGAAACACACGACAACTTTTACCGTAAGCACTTCGATGCGATCAGGCGCTGCCGGCAGTTTCTGCCGCGCAATACCAGACCTGACCTTTGCCAACTGCTGGTCAGTTGCAGTTGCCGGCAGCGTGTCAACGATCAAAAATTTTATTATCTTTGGCCTCCCGCAGGCGGCAGTTCCATCGCTCGATGAGAAATTCGCCTAGTGACCGGAGAAAACGTCAACGGCAAAAACAAGGGTTCCACAAATAACGCGTTTACCCAATGAAAATGCACGGACAATTATCCCAGATACCTTTCACGCGTCACTGGCGTCGTCTGAGAACCGGGCCGATCGTTCGCGCTGCTGCAGCCTTATCTGCGACGGTTTTGCGCGCTACCGGCAGATCGCCGACGATCCGTTAATGGATGGATTAAGGTCGCCGTTGCAAAAACTCGATGATCAATTTGAATCGGTTTGTTAAAGTCAACGACGAGCCAAGTTCGCCGAGAGAAAACGGTCAATGACAGTGATAATGGCACAGTCAAAAATTTCGCAATTGAGGGATCAAGGTCACTAGCCGCTAGGCTGTACGCTCAATCGAGGCTGCGTCGCGTATGAGAAAATCATACGCACATACATACGTCAATGGCGGAGCAGGAGAAAATCATTCGCTTTCGCGTTTTCACGGACTCACGTCGCAGCACAATGCACCTGTGATTAAGCTGATCACTGGTTCTTCTTTTACAACTGACGCACAGTTAGTCATTTAATTGCGATGGCAAAATCATTATCCGTATTTTATATTACGTCTTTCCAAGATTTACCAATAACCAAAACAGCAACTTCTCAACTTCTTCATGTCGAGTCATCTCGTGACACTGTATCGAGCAATTGGTAATATATAACCATTACGGACATCTAATTAATTTGAGAAATATTGGTAACCGATATTGTTATTGAAGAGCACACGTATAACAGAGAAAGAGAGAGAGAAAATACCAAGAATGTTTTTAGAAAACAATTGCTATTACAGAGAACCTTATATTTGTTACTTCGCAGTGCTATTCCATCGAAGCAGTCGCGGCACGCCGCAGTGGTAGCGACGAGGTTGCCTCTCGCATTTCACGTCAGCCGTACACGTCAGAATATTCATCGACTCTGTCAATATCACCTGGCGCCCACGCATAATTGAGGCGTTATTGCTCGTACCTCAGGCTTACAGAACGATATACAACACACATACACACATACACACACACACACAACACACTCTCTCTCTCTTTCTCTCTCGATACCAGCAGTCAGCGACGACCTTTAAAAACGTGCGTTGCATGCCGAATAAATAAGCTCTCTCGCGCCTACCTCACTCATATATAAGATACACGTGCTCAATGCCCCCAACAGGCGAAACAAACATTCCCACGCATTCCATCCATCTATCCATCCCGTTGCTCGAGACCTTGAAGCGAGAGAGCGAGAAAGAGATTCTCTAATCCCCTCGAGCTCTCGGAGAAAGATGTGTGTTACGTAGGCACTGCCGTTCTCGTGTGCGCGGGCTTCCGAGAATCCTCGGAGCCCGTCGATTGATCCGGTTCAAGAGTCCGAGCAGCACTATACATACGTGCTACGCTCAGCTCGTGACGAGAATTTGACGATCGCTCGACTCCGAATTCGGGCGTGAACTTGCAAAGCGACAATTTGCGGTAAAAGACATGGACAGTCCTATTATATGCACACACATCGTGCTACTCGCTCACGCGCGCGCCTGCCAACACATTGGGACCGTCCAACTCAACCTATACACTCACCGTAATGTGGAGTGTTCTTGCACGCACAACTGCACACAGATGCTGCTCACGGCTGCTACTTGCGGTCGGCAACACTCGGGACACTGGCTGATCGTCGTCGTCGCTGTGTTAATTCTAGCACTAGATATATCTTTTCAATCAACGCGGGAGGCCCATCGACGAGCCAGGCCGCACATTTTTGCCAAACGCACACACTCTGTTGCCTCTCTCCTCGTTCGCGTACCACGACTACTCGTTTACAGAAAAAACACGACACACGACTCTCCGCACGCTACAACAGCCGAGGCAACTCCAACACTGACTAAGCTTGCTGCTGCTGGTGCACGATCAACTCGACGTACTCTCACTCTCTCTCTCTCTTACTCCAACCAACGATACCACTTCTCTCTTAGTTCGATTAGAGTGCCCTGAGAGAGAGAGAGAGAGAGAGAGAGAGAGAGAGAGAGAGAGAGAGAGAGAGAGAGAGAGAGAGAGAGAGAGAGAGAGAGAGAGAGAGAGAGAGAGAGTTGAGCTTGTGCGCCGACTCGAAGTTGGGGACAGGAGAACGAAAACGAATATGTGTATATACGTTTGTGTATCGTATGTGTGAACAACGTTAACCTTAGTGTGAAGTTTGCTGCAAACCGAAATTCAATTTTACATTGAGAGTAATATCATTAATCATTACATTTTACAATTAAAACAAGACTATTTATATTATAATGATGAAATTTTATTTTAAAGTACTTTAAACATGAGACAATTACTTGAACTTTGTACTTCGCGGGTCAACCGTGAAGGTGATTTACAATTGTGACAGATTCCGCCCAATCAGCTGACATTTGTCATGATTTCCCAGTAAAAGAAAAGCTCCATTGGACAGAGAATTGATGGAGCTATAAAATGCCGTAACACGTCGACGAATAAATGTGGGTCGACGCGAAAATGTGAATTCTCCGATAAGTTTACGAATACAGAAAGTCGTGTCGACTGCAGATTGCAGTCGCATCGAGATGTCATCGTGGTGAGGTGAAGATTTTTTTTCGGCTAAAAATTTGAAGAGTTGGCTACATCATGATGGAACACATTCATGTGATGCCGAACAAGGTAAATATTTCTGCCAGCTACTACAGCAACGATTTCAAACTTTTTAAAGTATTTCTTTGAAAGTTTTCGTTTGTATGCATGTAACATTAACCTTAAAAAATGAAGGACAATTTTTTAAAATATTTTTATGTCAAGTAATCATCATACACTACGTGACTGGATATACCCAATTGTCATATTTGTATAACTGATTTGTCTGATTAGTATTCACAGTTTTTTTTTACCTGTTCCAGAGTGAGGCTGACTTAACACCTGAAGAAAGATGGAGGTAATTGATCTCATAATTTCTTTTATTTATGTATAATAATTAAACTTAGCTGAAGTATTTATCCAATTAATATTTTTAGGGTTGAACGTATAAAAATGCACGAACAACATCGGGGCCACGAGTCCATGCACATGGAGATGATGCTTATTTTGATAGTCACAGTTATTATTAGTGAAATCATACTTATTACCTGGAAACAGAAACACTACAGATCTTATCAAGTACGATTTACCTATTAATGAGTTTTATGAAAAAACTTTACTTTACAAATAAATTTTTATTTTCTGCAGCTTATAACGCTACTTGGTATGTGGGTGATTCCACTAGGAATGTGCATTAGAAATCTGTGGTGGAGATTCATATTTTTATGGCTAGTTTTCTCATGTATTACTGGACTGATTGTAAGAAAGACTATACAAAGACCAATGGCTGGCACAACTCCTAGGTTAGTATTAATTGATATATTCATAATTATTTTCAAAAATACTAATGTATTATTATATAAATTACAGGCTAGTATATAAGTGGTTCTACTTTATCTACAAACTTAGTTACTGTTTGGGTATAATAGGATATTTCATCATGTTAGCTACGTTTTTTGGCTTGAATCTTGTGTTTGATGCTAAACCTCAAATTTGGATGGACTGTGGGCTATTGTTCTTATTTTATGGTTTGTACTTTGGAGTCTTGGGCAGGGATATTGCAGAAATATGTGCAGATAAAATGGCAGCACATATTGGGGTAAGAAGAATAATTTAAAAAAAGCCAACTTCAAATTCAGTTTTAGCAATTATTCACAAAATTATAATTCAATTAAGCTAATTGAACTAGATCATTTCAGATACATAACCTTTCAAATCAACCCACCACTATTGAAATCATTTGAACTGTTTCAGAAATATATGCAAATAGACATTAAAATAATCAGATTGAATAAAGTATCTTCAACCTTTTTGAAGTTGGCAAAAAAAGAATTTGATTATTTATGAAATTATTTATTAAATTTATAGTTCAATACATTTTAAATTTCAATTCTCCAGTATTATAACCCTGGAAGCATGCCAACTAGATCATTGGATCCTAACGTTTGTGCTGTGTGTGGAAATCAATTATTAGTTTCAGAACATGAAGAGGGTGTTCTTGAAAACACATACAAACTTAGTTGCAATCATGTTTTCCATGAATTCTGTATTAGAGGCTGGTGCATTGTTGGCAAAAAGCAAATTTGCCCTTACTGCAAAGAAAAAGTGGATTTAAAAAAAATGTTCCGCAACCCGTATGATAATTATACAATCTTATAAATGCTTTTTTCTATTAAACTTATTGCTATACATGTAATGATCCAAATATCATTTTAGATGGGAAAAACCACATGTCCTCTATGGACAACTTCTTGATTGGCTGAGGTGGCTTGTTGCTTGGCAACCTGTTATTTTGTTCCTAGTTCAGGGGATCAATTGGAGCCTGGGACTTGAGTAAGTAAAAGCAGCACTGACTTACATTAAGCCATGAAAAGAGCTTTTACAATGAAAATCATCATTCAAAATAATATAAATATACAATCACTAAATGTAGAAAAAACTAAAGTTTTAAGAGCACTAGAAGCCATTTTACTTCAATATCTTGTCAGTTAGTGAATACAATTTTCTATTCTTGTCATTAATATAAGTTTATATATAAAATTTAGAAGTTTCCTTAAAATATTATGTGACAACATTTTTCCTATGTGATATTGTAATCATTTCAGCGAAGCTTGTTTTTATTGAATCATGTGTTTGAGTTTTGTTATTAGGATCAAGTAGATTTTTTTATAACATTCCCATAGATGAAAATTAGACATGTTTATACTGAGAATACTATGGTTGATGATATGATAAGACATTATGTAAAATTGTGTTTGTCTTGGAGTGCCATTACGGTGAAAATTGCTTTGTCAAATGTTATAATTAAAAACTGATAATGTTGGTAATACAATTTTCGTACCAGTTTATATTCACACCTCATAAGATGCCAATAGTCGGTAAGATAGAATTCTTAGTAAATCATACCAGTCTTTTTCAGATTTTGAAACTTGTATACTTGTTTACAATATTATTAGAATACTAATGTGCACTCAATGACAATCTCATTTACCGGTTCATTAGTTTAAAAGCTATTTTAATCGTTTTTGTATCTATTATAACTAATTTTCATCACATTTAATCATCGGTTTATTAATAATTAAGTTATGAATGACAAATATAAAAGATTATAATGGGAATATAAAAGATGACTCATTGCTTAATTTTACAGTTGACCAAAGTGATGATGAAATTATTAAAAATACCTTCAATCAAATGTGCATCAAAAACTCGGGACAATCTTTGAATTGTTGCAAGTTTTATATGTAGGAAAATTTTCGTTTACAATTTGGCTATAACTTCATTAAAGAGTTTAAAACTCAAATTTACGGAATTCAAATGAAATAACAATGTCATAGACGTTTTGACGAAACGAACTTGTGGAAGAAATATACAACTTTTCTCATGAAAATCCCTTTTTTTATCAAAACGTGAAATTTGTAAACAGATGCATACGTTTCATGATTATCGTCAAATACTTTTTCACTTTTTATTGTTTAAGTTAAGATAAACTTTTTCACGTATGCAAGTGTAATTTATATATGCGTGCATGTGTACAAACAAATATATAAAAAGAGAAAAAAGAAAAAACATCGTAATTGTAAAATATGTCTTTTGATAATTCGGAATCGCTAATTATACAATTAAATGTTTTTTTTGTAAATAGTACTGAATGACAGCACATTGTTAGTACACTCCGACCGTCTTATTGGACACTGATCTGTTAATATCTCGAACCACGAAACTATTTGTGAAAATGAAAGATTGTAAAATAAATAAAAGTTTCGTTTATGTAAAAACCATTGAAACTCTATGCGTCTTGGATATTTCTGAATCCTTCACGATTACATTAATTCCATTTTACTTACTACTAGATTGTAAAAATACCTATGAAGTTTGAAAATAGAATTTTTTCATTTACTTATTTTCTATATTAACTACTATCAGGACTAATAATTGAGTAAAAGTTCTTTAGTAATGCAGGCTAATAAGTATTATTTGTAATCCTTTTTTAAATAAATAAAAACAAAGTTTTCTAGAAAATTTTACTGATACTAAAATATGTAAAATTTTTTTAATACTGTTACAGAATTGAGATGTCATCTGCGAAAAACAATCTACATACTAGCACTGTAAAGGCTGTGATAACAAAAATTATTGACGACGATTTGGTACAAAGATAAAATATTTACAAACGGGGAATTTCTACCGAGATCTGAAAAAAGTTTAGTATTTGTAAATAACTCTTAATCAACATAAAAAGTATTAAAAATTATAATTGAGACAGATGGAACGTACTAAAGTTGGCGTTATTTTTATCAACTAGCATTTAATTAATTAGTACAAAGATCATAGTTTCTCAATTTATTCTTTATTTGTCATAGAAAAAACAACTTTCATCACAGGTGCACAATCACCTCCACACCCTTAAACTTCATGGTTGACAGAAAGTTTTGAAATTTATCCGTGAATAATCCTACGAAGAACTGGAACATTTTCTTTTCTTCTTCCTTTCTCTATCATCGAACAATTGGAACAATTCATGTATTGATCTACGTTTGTTTTTCTTTTGAAAATAATAGTCTCTTAAATTTGGAAAGGGCTCCATAAACATGCAGCGGGGGGATGCATGGATGTTTAATAAGACAGTTCACGATATGACGGGATAAACCTTTTTTTCGCTTACGGGCATTTACATAGAAATTTTTAGTTTTATAATAAAGTATTTTCTTTACATTACCATGTATTAACATTTCAATAAATCTAGTATGTTACATTCTTCATAGCTCTAATATATTACAACGTGTATAAAGTGAATCTCGTGAATTTTAATGTATCGTTAATAAAACGATCGTCAAGTTCAATGAATCTGTGATTAATATTGATGAAGCGTCACAGTTGTTAGAATAGTTTTCTATGTATAGAATGTACAATATATTTTTTTATCAAACGTTAATCAGCGAAAAGTAGGCTGAGCAAGGATAGGTATAAGGGTAGACATACACAAACACAGGGAATTTTTATAGATATATTTATTGATTACTTAGCGTGTAAGAGTATAGAATATATGTATACCTTACTTGTTAAATATTACATGGTAATATATATGTATATATATTCATATATTCATATTTATACCGACGTATAGTCATTAAAATAAACCTGCCGTGTGTTTACACGTGTTTCTTGTGTGTTTCTTTACTGTGTATTTCGTCGCGTGGAACACTGTGGAATCTTATTTTTCCTCACTATTTACAAATCCCTAACAATACCACTATAATTAATATTTACAAATCCCACAGTTGATTTTTTACTTCATGACGATATCATTGTGATTTCTAGTAAATCAATAATCACTCGAGCTAGTCGAGAAAAGAAAACGCTACGAAGGGAGAATCGAGTTTTTGAGTTTTTGTTATAAATTAAATATTTTTTTTGTTTACTTTTACGAATCTACATATCAAGTATAAAAAACTTCGCAGCAGATTGATCGATCATTCATCCCACGAATGAGTGACTTACAAAAAGCAGAGATAGTTTTGTTTATTATCACCTTGCACACTCGTTCGTGTGTAAAGTACATTTATCCGATTGGCCGGCAACGTCATCGCACTCTTCAACAAAATAAAATTAATATTCAATTATACATTCAATTATTTACAAGAGTCGACGCCCTCGATCATCTCGATGCCGTTCAAATGATTCCACTACGAGTTTCTCTGCTGAACACAACTTACATTATATATATAAATTTTTCCATATTCTTTTGCTTTCTTTCATACAAATGATCTCTCGATACACAAGCACACAGTTTTCGATTTCGTACTCGCTATTTATTATTTATTTTGCTCGTAGTTTCTGAATACTAATAATATGATAGTTACAAAGTATTGCTTTTTGTAGTCGCGTTACACAGCTACAACTTATCAATCCTTCCTTGACACAACGAAAAGGAAAAATTGAAATGTTGCTTCGAACTGCGCGAAATCAAGGAAAATTCGAATCAGTACGCTTCAAACATCACTTATTTAAGATGCCAAAAGAACAAGGCTGCTTAAAAAACTCATACCGAAATAAAGCTTTGAAACCTCAGTAAAGTAATCAAATAAATAAAAATCAATGCAACATTCGATTTTGATTTGTATAGAAAAATAAAGAAAAATTTTTATTTGTACTAGAAACGATGTTTAAGCTGTTGATATATACCAATAAGTCCATTAGACTAAACAATGTATTTAGCAAGAAGCATATTTTAAATATACGTCTTTTTTCTTCGAGTATAAGACTAATTTCACCTGCATTTTTTAATGCTTAATTTACGATTTCTTTTTCTCTCTCCCTTATTTGTACGCGAGGTTTATAATAGACGCTCACGTTTCCGGCTAATGAATTGCACGGATTTTTATACTTTTTTATTAATTTAGGGCAGTAAATTTCTACAGTATTCGAGGACATTTTATCACGATAGAAGTGCACTATAGAGAAAAGTAGAATATAATTGATTGAATGTTCGTTTGCCCAACAAATAAAGAGTGCAAATTTTAGGGGTAATACAAAATAGAACAAAAAAATTTCTTTTTGGCAAACGATTAGTCGTTAAAATTTTAAAAATAATTGATCAATTTAAATGTGTATACGTAACTAAACGACTATGTACAGAAAATAATGTACAAAAAATCTTATTCGATCCATCGAAAAAAAATGGAATGTGTAGTAACAAAAAATGTCAAAGAGCAGCGAAAATTACGAGGATAAAATTTCGCTTACGAGAATTACACAACAGCTATACACGCGTATTTAAAGATATGTACAGCAGTTATAATGCTTCATGTTTGTGTTTTTTATTTTGTAATAAAGATTTTGCGCGCTACCAAAAACTCGTTATTCTCTCCAAACCGATCTCTCTCATCTTCCGTTTACAATGTAAATATTTTGTTTAAAACGTACGTTGCAGTTATGATTATGTATCATTAGCTCATTGTACACCTACGAGGAACACAACGTGGTGGAGCGACGTGGCTCGCACGTTGGCTCGATTATTTTAATTGATTACTTATTCTTTCACTTTCTATGGGTTTTTTTTGGTTACGCCGTGTTTGCACACCTGCGCCAATTCTAAAATTCTATACTCACTATAAACATCGACTTTTCCATTTCTTACTTGATTTTATTTATTTATTTTTTCTTAAACTCGCCTCTTTCGATGCGCGATATAAGATTACATGTTTTTTTTTGGGGCTTTGGAAAATTCTAGTGAGGATTAGGGACTCGTTAATATCGAATGCAATGTGGCTCCGTTTGTTAAAAATACTTAAATAGCAGTAGAGGAGTTCTGAATTTGTGGGCTATGTTTAAAAAGTACACGAATTTTCTACAAAAATGCTTGAAAATATTGGAGCGATGTTGAATAAATATTGAATATTAAATTATTCACATCGAATTCAATTGTTCAAGAGTGTATAGGAGCATCACCGTTTCGCGTGAAACGAGTCCGCGCACACAGACGCACGAGGACGTTTATCAACGATTCAAAAAATAATTCTCGTAGTTTTCGGGTTCTTTCGTTTCGTATTAGTACAAAGATAGGCAGGGGTATTTTACACGACCATAGGTTTATAATAATAATACGCTTTATATCATTATTATTACTATTATATAATTACGCGTTTTTTTCACTTAATTAGTAAGTTTATTAATTTCCCTTTGGACATTGTTTCTCTCTCAATTAAATATCTGCTTCCTAACATTCAGTTCATTCTCGATTTTATCGACTCTAATAGCTTTTCGTTTCCCCATTATTTATTTATTTATCTTTTTTAAGTAGCCGTCAAATTGTTTTGAATGACTTTCTTGACGTTTCATTATCGTTTATTACATTGAGTTTATTATTTACAAACTACTCTTTCTCATTTCCATGTTTATCGAATTTTCCTTGCGTTTTCACAGTGTTATTGAATACCTACGCGGTAAATGCATATCTGTTCTATTAATAGACAAGAGCGGTCGCATCGATGTCTCCCTCATTTTTCTTCAGTAACAAAAGATTCGAGTAGAGGAGATAAGAAGAGATGCGATGAAAAAGGAGAAGAGAAATCGATGCAACTTCGAGTATCCATGTGTACTGTGTATTGCGTGTCTGTATGAGAGTGTGTCGGTGTTTTACATATAAAAAAAGCGTCGATCGACAGTTTCACTCGAATGTTTATAAATTATTTTTCATACAGTAAATATCTACATGTATAATATTAATTGATTAGTCGTATTTACAGTCGTCTTATAACACGTTTTGTTTTTCCTAAATTAAATAAGTTTATAACTTACGTCAATCCCCACGTGAATCCGCATCGCTTGTAATCGATCGCGCGCCACTTTCTATTAAAAATATCTGTTTTTGACTCTGTGCATTTCGCACCGCTCTTTTTCATTTTATTTTTGTTCAGAGAAAAATCTGACGTTTTCCTCGTCCAATTGGACAAATCACTCTCTCGATATTTCTTTCGTCGGTAACGCGATTTATTTGTGTGTCTAAGACCCTGTTATTATTTCGTAAACGAGCAAAAGATATTAGGCCACTGTACGCCTCTCGCTTGTCCAGCATCGAGTCCCAAAATCAGTAGTTCAAAGTGATTCGCTTGTGAATCTCTTACTCTGGGTCTCTATGCTGACGACGATAACAAATGAAAAAGTAACGACAAAAGCATAAAATCAAGAAACAGTTCGAAAGTGGCAATCGGCATACGCTTTAAAACACTAACTTTGTCAACAGCCACACACTTTAATCCACCCATCGACTAGCTTGGACACCTCGCGCGAATCGCGACCAACGAACGATCTCTTTCGGTCGTAATCTCTGTCTTCCTGGACGAAGCAGAAATTTAAATGGCACCGTAACTGGAAAGAGAACGTTACACATTGCGCAAGCGCTCTACGCGAGGATGAAATCGTTCAGCCCTTCGAACCTCTACAAGACTAACCGCTTTCATTTTAGCCTTAAAACTCCTCGTAATCCTCCTCTTGTCACGAGTCGTGCCTGAAGGCCCTTCCCCGTCTGTTGCTGCCGCTCTTGCGGCGTTTGCGCTTCGTGTCCCTATTGAACATCACGTTACCGGGATCGTCGGCCAGCTGAGGATAGCGGTGCACGCTGTGAATGTCCACACCCTCGTAGCCCTCGACGATGCCGCGACTAATCAGCTCGTCCTTCTCTTCTTTGGTCCAGTCGCCCCTGCCCTGGAAGCCGGTCGCTACCAGCTGTTTCTCGATCTCCCAAGCCCGCTCGACCGCCCGCTTGTGGGCGTGCTTGAGGATCCGGTGCCTCTCCTGGTCGGGATCCGCGCCGTACCTAATCACCACAGCCGCATCGGCACTGTGCAGTCTGAGCTCTTTACAAGTACTGCTGCCGTGTTCGGTGGTCTCGTGGGTGGACACGTTGAACATGCTCCCGAGCCGCTTCAGCTCCTCCATGTCGTCGCGGATCTTGAGCACGTTGTCTTTCACGAAATAGAACACGTCCTGGTCGTGCACGCTGAAATGCAGCGGTAGGAAGTACGAGTTGTTTATCACAGACGTTATCACGTCCTGCACCACGCTGTTCACGCCGTCTACCACGCTCACGAGCGCCCGACCACCGATTCTGCTGACTAGGATGCCTTCGCCGAATACTGCCCTTCTGTGCGCTACCCTCGGCAGCAAGTTCCTCGTTTTTGGCTCGAGCTTGAGGAGAGGTTTAGGCATAAAGCCGAGGTCGGAAAACTTTTCGTGCACCCGGTTGACGATGCATTGCAGGCCACTCATCACACCAAAGTCAGGCGTAAGCTGAGGCGAGGTGATAGTTGCGGATGGTTGGTAGACCATGTCTTTGGTGTACTCAGAGCCAAGCATCGCGCTGATGTCGTAGCCGTAAAGTTTCAGCCATGAGGGCAGATCGGTCATGTACTCGACATTTTGCTTGAGATTGATGGGGTCATTATTGCGGAACCTGTAGATGAAGATGTCCGTAGGCGTGGTCAACTCGTTGGCCATCTCCTCCCAAGCTGGTGTCATCCATTGACCAACGGTCGGATCGTACAGCCTCTTGTTCAAGTAGATGAGTTTGGTGTTGGGATCGAACAATCCACCGTGGAAATCGATGGGTAAGTAAAAGTCAGGATTGGTGTCTTTGATGATTTTGCCGAAAGGCGTTCTTCTCATTTCCTTGTACAGGTTTCCGTTTGTATCGAACAGCGCTAATGGAGAGCCATTCTGGTCGGTGGCAACGTAGAACCTCTGCTCGGATGTTTCCACGGCCATGAGGAAGTCTCTCGAGTCGTACAGGAACCTGAAGGTTTTCTGAGTCTTGGGGAAGTGTAGATGCGTAATGAGATCTGGTGTTTTTGGGTTGGCGTAAAAGAACTGAGTGACGTTGTCACGATCATCATTCCACGCGATGAGTCTACCCCTGTCGTCGTAATAGTACCAGATCTGGAATTGTTTGTGCTCAGCGGCGTGGATGAGTTGACCGCGAGAGTTGTAACGGTACTTGTGCTCGCCTCGGATAACAACAAAACCACGTTGGTCGTACGAGTTGAATTCAACGTCACCGTACTGCACCACTCTGTCACCACTATCATAGCCCAGACTAATTTTTTCGCTGCGTTCGGTTACACCAATAACGTTTCCGTTCTCATCGTAAGCGTACTGCCAAGAGATGTCAGTGTCGGCTACCTCGAGCACATGGCCGTCGGCGTTGTACGTGATTTTGTCCATACGTGTCCAATCTTTCTTTTCAATTGAATCTTTGCCTGTCGAACATACAAATATTTGTATTAAACAACTCTCCAGAATAGTCGAAAAAAACTGATAAAAGAAAATAAAACGAATGCTTACCAATCATGAGCTTGCGCATCTTAATTCTATTTCTGTTATCATATTCCAACTCCATTCTGAAGACATCGAGTGACCTGATATTCATAACGATAGTCTTGACTCTGCCGTGCTCATCGTAATCGGTAACAGTGAAGTATTGCTTGCTGGAGTCTTGCATAACAGACCGATTGAACAAATTTCTGTAGATCCTCAAATCGTTGACAGCCTCTAGAACTCCAAGATTCTGATCATATTTAAGGCGGAGTGGTTGTAGTTGTTTGCTATTGATGTCAGAGTCAATGCCGGAAATGCGCGCATTGCCATCGTACTGGTAGCGGAAATGAGCGTCATCCAGTCCTTGCTTGCTGCCGTATTTAATCTTTTCATCCTTGACGATACCTGCGTGATACTTATACTCGACACGCATTTCAAAGTTGGGCTCGTTGATGTCAATGCTGCGTACGAGGGACGTCGTCTCCTGGTAAGTGTAATGCGTCCATAATTGACCAGCGAGTACAGTCTCCAACTTGCCTGTGTGATCGTAAACGTAGGCAACCTTGCCACTCTGGTGAGGATAGACCTTAGCCAGAATTTGACCGTCGTCGTTATAGAGGATCTCGTATGGGTGACGGTTCATCGGAGAGTAGTACTGGTACTTATAGAAACCAAGCGAAGTTTGCAAAGAGAACGCGTGAATGTGACCTCTAGGTGTAGTCAAAGACTGCAATGCACCAGCCTCGTCGTACTGCAGCAGATAGTCACTACCACGAGGAGTCGTGACCTTTAGAGGCAAGCTGCTAAACATGTCTTTAAAGGCGTAGACCATTGAGGTGCCATCGCTGTATTTGATCTCGTAAAGGCGACCAGCTTGATCGAAATTGTAGGTCTCGCTGATATCACCCCACGTCCAGCTGACCAATCTGCTAAACCTGTCGTATTCAAGATCCACACCAACGAAGATACCATCGCGAGGTCCCCACTTGATGGGTCTGGCGGTCTTGTCGTAGGTCACGTTCAGTAGTTCGACGTGATCGTCCTTGAATACAGCCACAGTGTTGGATTCGTGGTCGTATTCGAGCGAGAGCAGCACGTTGCCATTGACTCGAAGCTTCCTGCCGACTTGAGCAATAGCTTTCGTGGCTGCGGCACCTCTGTTCTTGTTAGTTTGCACCTTTTTCAAAAAGTAGCGCCACTCGAAGCGGTTAGCCAGGTCACCAGCGATCTCGGTGCGTTGCTTGGCTGGAACTGGGTAGCTTTCGCCAAGAAGAGGTTCGATTTCAGCCAAGATGGAGTAAGGCATCGTGTCTGTGCTAACGGTGTGCGACCAAGGAGTTTGCCTTCCTACACTGCCATCGGGCAGAACGGTAGTTCTCGATTCAGCCTCTCCAACCTCCGTGGTAACTGACGATCCCTTGATGAGCATCGATACGGGCTTCCTGCTATTCTGGCCAACTTTCACGGTTGCTCCCTTCAAGCTGAGGTCAAAGGTGAGGCTAATGACCTTACCAGTAGGAGTAACAGCGCTGGTAAGTCTGCCGAACTCGTCGTAGTTGTAAACGAAACTTCTGCCTGTAGAGTCGAGCTTGGTCTTGAGCAGACCAGTTGGCTCGTGATACTCGAAGGTGACGTTGTAATTGTCAGGCGTGCTGAGCTCGTGGAGCAGCTTCATACGCGACATGCGAAGCCTGCATTTCTGGCCTTTGGTATTCTCAATTGAGTTCACTTGCGCGCTGTAGTCTCTCAACAAGAATACCTTGTTGCCCGCGGCATCGGTGACAGTGCTCAATTTGCCGTTACTGGTGTTGACGTTGTAGGTGAACGAGTAGATAGTCTCGCCAGTAAGGATGTTCTTTGTGGCGACGTGCTGACCGAACCGGTTGAACACGTAGATCTCTTGAGTATCGGGTGAATAGATTTCGTACTCGCGAGTTCCGCTGGCGTCGGGGATGCTAGCCATCACCGACCGAATCCTGTAGTTGGCCTGGTCACCAATGTGCACGATACTGTCGGGACTAACAGCCACTGCCGAAATAGTGTTGAATTTGGACGTTGAGGCAAGATAGTGATCGGCTTCGAAACAGTCGCAGCCCCTCTCGAGGCAGTTGCACTTGGATTCAGCGCCAGCGTATGCGGAGATCTTGCCATCGGTGCCGATGACGCGCACGCGGTTAATCCTCTGAGAGTCGCTCTCAGCGATGTAGAGATCACCCGACGGTCCAAAAGCAATACTTTGTGGCATGACGAGAGTCGCGTGCGTGGCAAGCTCTGTATCGAAGGTGGTCGAGGGTGAAGCACAGTGCAGCGGACGACCAGCGATTACTTTCACTCTACCGTCGGGAGCCAGTTGCAGCACCATGTGATCGTCGATTATGTGCAGAGAGTTGTCCAGTGGATTGATGGCTGTAAAACCAAATATCGTTAGTTATATTGCAACCCAATTCCTCACCGAAAAGACTAGAATTCATCAATGTACTTACCCAATTCAGTTGGCCAACGCAGATGCACTTCCTCGACGTTCAGGGTACCCTCGCACGGGATTGGTTTCCAGTGGCTCTTGTGCATATGATTGCCAATGATGGTCGTAATGATACCATCCCTGTCCACCATGCGGATGTTAGTTCCGTCGGCAAAATACAGTACGTTATCGGCCGAGATCGCAACACCCTTGGGATATGCGAGTTTGGCATCACGAGCAAGAGCACCATCGCCACAATGAGCTTCATCACCAGGCAAGCAACGCTCACCAGAACCAACTACCGTTTCCCAATTGTGTTCGGGATCCGAGTAGTCAGTAGTGTTGCGCACACGGATGATCTGGTGAGACTCGGGGTCGCTAATGTAGAGCGAGCCATCCAGAGGGCTCAGAGCTATGTGGTATCGGTAGGAGACTCGAGTGGCACTGTAAGAAAATTAATAAATAATTTAAATAATGAAATAAACGCACTATCGGAGAAATCGCGAAGTTATGCCAAAGAATACTCACTTTAGTCGCACGATAGTTCTGACGGTACCGTCTACCAGAATCTTCCTGACAAGATTGAAGTCGCCAACGAAGATCGAGCCGTCGGGTGCAGTAGCTAGAGCGACAGGAGCGAGCAGCCTTTGCTTCGATGCCTGGCCATCGCAGTCGAAGCAGTCGAGTGGTCTCTGATGCCCATCGCCCATAGTAGTGAGGATGACGCGAGGCTTGTGCTTGAGATAAATGTTAGAGCCGTCACCCTTTTGCAAAATGCCTTCGTGGAAATTGTAGCGATGGTGGATGTCCAGATTCCACCCGCCTACTTCGGAGATGGACATATCATGGCCACTGAGCTTCGTGGTCTGTACGTCCCAAATGATGTCTTTGCAGTCGCTATACTCGTAGCCGACTTTCACCATTGCCGTAGTCACTCCGTACACGCGTTGCCTGTATACGTTGAGTCGGTTCCAGGCGTAGGTGAACTTGATGATTGGGTCAGCTTCGAAGGTCTTTTCGAAGAGTATGCCCTCGATGGTGATCCTCAGATGAATGAGTTGTAGCGTTGAGGGAATATTCTCGGGTGTGAGTTGAAGCTGGATAGTCGACAAGTAGCCAGCTGCTCGAGAACTGTGATACACGAGGTTCAAACCAGTGCCAGGGATCTGGAGGCTCTCTTGAACAACCTGCGACTCGGCTAGGATGGCGCTCTTGTCGGGACAAGCACCTTGGAATCCGTGTTTCCAAGTAGCCAACACTACGGGCTTCATCAAGTCATAGTCGTGAGCGCCACAAGCGTGAATTACGTGCGCTGGTGGCTTTTCGTCGGCCGTACTCATCACAATTTTGTTTATTATCACAACCTACGTGAACAATTTCATTTCGTTAGTTAATACTCTCGAGAAGATTTTCTTTCGCACAATTGATCAAACGGATTAAGTACCTCGTTCCAGGGCACGAAAACAATGTGACTCTGGGGTTTGAATGGCGACCTGCCAAACTGAAGGGTGACGGCGCCGCCGCCATTCACCAGCAAATCGAACCAGCCGTCGTCGCGAGTCAGAGTGAATCCCTCTTGCAGTGTACTCGTACTTACGCGCACACCCATCAGGCCCATGCCCAATGAAGTGACCACACGTCCACGAACTACCGCCGATCGACTACAGGGGAGTGGAGAGATGTGATGTTAATTACACGAATTGTATGGATCGAGGTTGTTTTATTGGTACCACAGGTGTAGACTTTCGTTCATTCAAAAATTAAACTACTCGGTATGGTATTAATGTACTTATGGTTTTTTGTTAAGATAAAGGAAAATCACAATTATGTTGACTACGGTACATAAACGGATTATCAAGTAATCCTTCTGTTTGAATAATATTCACCGAGAGAAGAATTCAGATTTCATATCGAGACTTCTCTTGATGAGCTGAAAAAATTTTTAACGACAATTGCACATGCTTTCAATTTTTCATAGTCTTTACTTTGCACTCATCGAAATTGATATACGTTGTCGAAAGTTTCTTTTTTTAATTTTTTTAATTTTAATCATTCAATAAACAAAAGTCTTGTTCGTCAATCGATGTAACAACACAAATATTTTTTTTCTTTAAGGCTGAACAGAAAAATTCACGAACCACAACGTAGGAGATTTAAGGAAAACTTAACCATGCAACGTAAACAATTTTACGATATTTGCGGAGGAGACAATAAAAGTTTGTGAAGAAAAACATTAATATTTTTATAATGACTAGTCAACTAATACTGACAACACATTTTTCAAAGGAATTAAACCTTTAAACATACACAACACACATACATAAACATGAATGAGTATCGAATGCAGGAATTCGACAACACGAATGCAGAATACAAAATGTAAACACATATAGGTGTGTACACAGTAATAAAACGATAACTACTAACAGAAAAAAAATCATAATTCATAAGCTACAAACTTGAGAGGGAGAAAAATAAAAAGAGGGGCGGGCAATGAAAATAAAAATTAGACTGAAGCTGTTCAGACAATACAAACGAAACGAAAGAAATAAGAAAATTAAAAAAAACACAGAAAAAGGTTGGGGTTTCTCGAAGAGAGTAAAAATGAAAAATGTCTGGTTGCTCAAACAAAACCAAAAAAATCAAAGGATAACAGGCTGTGCTCTTAGTATCATTCTCTTGGATTTTTCTTTCCTTTGGTTTTTTCATACTGTTCTTACCTCGTGTTGAAGTGATTCCAGAACACACTGATTGAGCCGCACGGATAAAACAGAGCCCAGTTAGAATGACGTGTTTTTTAGGATAGTTCAGATGAGAGTTAGAGATGAATAGATGGAAACAAATGAGAAAAAATGTGTTCTTTTTAGTAACTGGACAATTAACATTATAAAGAATTATGTTGTTTTGTTTTTGCACGCGTTTTTGTTTGATAAGATATAAATATATTTATGGATAAGGATAGACTTAGAATGATGGAAGTGGTTTTTGAGGTCAATGAGATAATCAACAATGAATAAACATGACATGACAGTCTATGATGTAGAACTGAACAATGATTCATATGTATATGGATAAAACAGAAAGATGAACGATGAATAATATTGAATGAGGGAGGTTAGTGCAGGGCACACATTCGCGCACACGTACGTATACAAAACATGTTAAAAACTTTTGGGATGTGATTTCACACGGGTCACAACAACGCAGATAATAGTATTCTTTATTTTCATTTCACTTAACATTCAATTTCGACTTGACCAATTTCTTAATGTACCCTATTCTATATATTTTCATCGAAGAACCTTATTATGCTATGATTAGTAGTAAGTGCAGAGAAAAACAGCTCAAGGCAGAGATGTCAGAACGTACCTCTCGTTAAAAGTCTCCTGACGAGCGTAGTTCTGCAGACTACCGTCGTCAATCAAAAATTTCATCCTCTCGAAGAACGAAGCAGTGATCGCCGGAGGCTGCTTCCGTAGTAAAATGTCGATGGGCTTGGGCGCCGACACGCACAACTGACTGCTGCGACATGTCGGGTTCAAGCAGCACTCGGGGTCGGCACAATCGACCAAGCCGTCTAGAAATGAGTCGGGCGTTGGTCAAGACTGCGAGGTTGCGCCTGCCCGATCGTCGGATCGACGGCCGTACCTTTGTCGTTGTCCCTGCCGTCGCTGCAGTCCTGCTCGAGATGGACGCTGCAGTCCTTGCCGTTCCATCCGTCGTAGCACTTGCATTCCCACTGGGCGTCCTGGTTGACCTTGCACTGACCGTGATTGGAGCAGGAGTTAGGACAGCCCTCCATGGTACAGTGGCGGCCGTTCCAGCCGGTGACGCAGAGGCAGGTGCCGTTCTTGCACTGTCCGTGCTCGTTGCAGCGCGGGTCGCACTGCTTGAGGTTGCACAGCTCGCCGGACCAGCCGGGCATGCAGTCGCACGCGTTGTCCACGCAGTGGCCGTGCGGACCACAGTCGAGGTCGCACAGCTCTGCAACCAACCGGTGAGCGGCTCTCGGTGAGCGGGCCGAGCAGGCGAGCGCCGCCGAGCGCCGCCGAGCGCCGCCGAGCGCCGCCGAGCGCACTTACCTTTGGAGCAGTCGTCGCCGGACCACATGGGCTCGCACATGCAGGTCTGCGTCTCGAGGTCGAAGGTGCCGTGGCCGCTGCACCCGGGCAAGCACTGCAGGGCCTCCTTGTCGGTTTGACTGCAGTCGGCGCCCTTCCAGCCCTTCTTGCAGATGCAGGTGCCCTCGGCGCAGAAGCCGTGGCCCGAGCAGCTGGGGTGCGGACAGTCGACCTCCTCGCAGAACTTGCCCTTGTAGCCGCGCACGCAGGCGCACTTGCCGTTGGTGCAGTGCCCGTGCCCGTTGCAGTCGGGCACCTCGCACTCGTCGTGGCGCAGCGAGCACTCCTTGCCCTTCCAGCCGGGATTGCACTGGCACTCGCCGTTGATGTACTCGCCGTGCTCGCTGCACAGCACGGGGCACACGCTCTTGCTGCAGTCCTCGCCGCCGAAGCCGGGGATGCACTGGCAGTGGCCGAGCAGGCACTCGCCCTTGCCGCTGCAGCCGTTCGGACAGTTGTGCGTCATGTCCTCGGCGATGACCGCGATGAAGCTGACCTCTTGCGGGTCGCCGTCGTCGTTGTAGAGCGAGAGGAACCAGTGGCCGGGCTCCATGTAGTGCGTCACCTCCTTCTTGATCGACGGCTGCTGCAAGCAAAGTGTCCTCTGGCGTTAGTTGCGCGTTCGGGCGCGGCGCGACCGCTCGGCGACACTCACGTGCGAGGCCCTCGTGTTCCTGGCCTTGAATCCACTGAGCACCTCCAGCAGGTCGTACTGCGTGTGCGTGGGCAGAGCGTTTCTCCGGGCGTAGACGCCGATGCTCGCGCCGCGCGGTATGTTGTAGTCGAACCGCACGTAGGCCGGCTCCGACTGGTAGAACTGCATGTTCCAGTAGCTGTAGGCGGGTATCTCCTTGTTGAGCCGCTGACCCAGCGCAACCTGCGCGAACGTCGTGCCGTCGGGCGGGAACGAGCGCGCCGGGAACGTCCTGCCGCCTGTGGAGCCGCGTGGAAGCAACGTTATCTTTGAGCGGAATGCGCCCCTCGATGAACAAGCACAAGCTACAGCCCACCGTCGAAGCGGCGAGAGCAGTCGGGAAACTGGAAACCCCGAGTTTCCCGAACGCCTCGCGATGATGATCGATGATGATCGGACGAGCACAAGTAACGAACGCAACAGATGAATGAATGAATGAATGAATGAATAAACAACAACAACAACAACAACAACAAGAACCTTTGTGCGAAACATGCAAATGCGGGCACGTCCATGCCGTTCGTTAGTCGTCTGGGAGAAAAGAAGAGAGCGCGGCTGGTTAGGCTGGTTAGGGTATAAGTATATTAGTAAGCGGATAAAAGATAGACAAAGGATGGTGCTCGGCGAAATCGCTGATTTAGTACTGTTAGCTCGGCGCTCGATTAGTCAGGCGAGAGAATGTGTAAAAACGATATCTTCTTGCTGGCAGAGACTGCGTGCGTGGCACGCGTTCTTTTCGTCGCAGTATCGGTTGCAAGCGCCGACGAAAAGAGTCTCTCGGCCTCACCTTCCAGGATCAAAATAATCGGCTCCGGGGGCATAGCAGTAGTGCAGGCCATATCGTAGGCAGCGCTTGCGCGTTCGCTGACGTCGCTCGTAGCGAGGCTCGTCTGCGTCTCGACGGCCGGCGTCGCTTCGTCCACAAAGTCAGCTTCGAGACTGGAGTTGAGCAACGCGCCAAAGCTATCCTCGAACAAGTCGAGCTCGTCGCTGCTGGCTGCTGAAACGTCAGCGTCCCAGTCGGACGTGTCAGCGAACTCAGTCGCGTCGTCCAGGCACGGACACGAACATTCGCACTCGGCACCGCCCCACAGCGGCGGCGGCGGCGGCGGCGAGCCAGGGGGTCGCGGGGGCGGTGGTATAGTCGCTTCCATCACCATATCACCATCGCCATGCCGAGTAGTGGACAATCCAAGCGAAGAGGAGGAGGAGGAGGAGGACGAGGAGGAGGAGGAAGAAGAAGTAGAAGAAGAAGAAGAAGAAGCGGGAGCAGCGCCAGCGCCAGCGTCAGCGTCTGGGTTAGCCGGCAGCAGTCGGCGCTCGATCGACTCGAGGGAGGCTTGGATGCGCATAAGCGAGCGTTCGATGGTGCTCGCGGCGAAGTCACGTTTGGGTGTCTCGTGGTCCTGCGCCTTGCGATCGCTCTTGTTATTCAGCAGCGTTGGCACGCTCACGTGTATCGAGGAGGCGTTCGCCGGCACGGACAGCGACACCACGTAGAGTGCCTTGGCTGTCGAGTCGCTGTTGTCGCTTATCGTCACGCTCACAAGCACGCGCTCCGCTTGCTGATCGGTCGCGTTAGCAGTGGTGCTTTGGTTATTGGCTGGCTCGCCGAAATCGTTAGTATCTTCAAGCACAGAATTGTTAGACAGACTGAAGGCTTCGAAAAGCGGGTCCTCGTCGTCGGGCCGCTCGATTATTTTCGTTCTTGAGTCGACCTCGTCGAATGTGCGAAACTTTTCCTCGAACCTCCGGTAGAATTCGCTCTTGTCAGGCCTCTTCATCAACTCGAGCAGTTCCTTATCGCTATCGTCATCGTCGTCGTCGTCGTCGTCGTCGTCGTCGTCGTCGTCGTCGTCGTCGTCGTAGTCGTTAGCTTTGGGAGTCGTTGCGACGTCGACGTCGTCGAGCCGGTAGACGTTGAAAGGCCCGGGACGATCGCTCTGTAACTGGTCATCCGCATCCGACGAGTGGCCGCTCGGCGCTTCGTCGACGGACTCGGTAGCGAAGCCGTTGGTGGTCGCGCCACTAGCGCTACTCGGCGGCTGCTCGATCTCGCGAGCGCCGTCAAGGCTGCTCGCACCGGAATACAACGTGTCCAGGCCGCGGTCGCCGTCCGCGACAGTACTCGCGGTACCCGCACCAAAGTTATTGTTATCAGCCGACGAAGACGCGTTAGAAAGTAAGTGTGACAGTAGATTATTGCTACGAGGGCTACTGGTAGGCGAGGAAGAAGTAGTAGCGACACTAGTCCCCGGCTTATTATCATGCAACAACAACAACAACAGCTGTCCCTCGTGCGAATCGTCGTCGAGCTGGCGACGTTTGCGCGAGTGGATGGGCGATGATGCGGATGATTTACCTCCGGAGCCCCCCGACTGCGGGCGCTTGGAGCCGCCACTGCCGCCACTCGATGAGGACGTCGTCGACGATGCGGTTGCGTTCGCCTTGGAGGCGTCCGCCGTTTTGCCGTCCGCGCCGTCCACCAGCACCGTACACGCCTTCGTGCCTTGATACCAGTTGACCATGTTGGATACTGCAATCGAGATTGGTCCGTGAGTCGTCGCGATATCGAAAGGAGCCAGCCAGTGGGTACGCTTGGCGGTCGATCACGTACCTGCGATGTAAGTGAGGGCAGCCAGTAGGCACAGCGATATCATGATAACGACGATCGCGATGAGCTTCCAGCTGCACCAGTCTACGCCCTTGCGGAAGTGGCAGCGGATGCTCTGCCTCCTCATCGGGATCATCGACGAGCCGTGGCCGTACGGCAGCGGCACCCTGTGAATTGCGCAAGGGCTCGTCAGCGAGGCAAACGTAGTGGCGCGCAACTGGAGCGCGCTCGAGCGAAGACGAGGAGCGAGCGCGGCTTCCAAAAATACAGACGCGCGCTCAACCCCCTCGAGCCTCCGGCCGCAACGTAAACACCAGATTTTCCCGCAGCAGGTTCCCCCGTCGAAAAGCACACGTGCAGTCCGAGTCGCAGGAATTCCCAGGGTCAGGGTCTGTTTTATGTGCGCTGCGTCTGCGTGCCGGCGGCTCTCTTCGAGGTGGTCTCTCTCTCTCCCTCCCTCCCTCCCTCCCTCCTTCCCTCTCGGCCCTTCACTCGCGCGCGCGCGCTCGCTCGGGCTTATGAGTACACAGGCCAGATTCCGACCAGTTTTTACTTGACGGCTCTCGAGAAAGGAAAAGGAAAATCCGTGTCGAGGATTGCCACGCGAATAACGTCGACGGCGATTATCTAATGGAAGCCGATAGCCACTAGATCCACATTCGCCAGTCACAGACAAGAGCCACTCGATCCCGTTGCGACACTTGTGCACGTTCTCAGGCTCTCTTCCTGTCCCGTTTCAGATGCAACGCGAACGCGACCGTTTGCTTGCTCTCTGAATGCCAAAAATGCCAAAGAAAAGTCCCTCCCCAGCCGGCTATGTATCGCGTTCCGAAAAATCTTGGCCTTTGTGCACTGCGACTCGCTCTCTTGAAACGCCAGAATGCTGCCCGTCACGACTTTTTGGCGCGCATCAATGGACCAGCTCATCAATAACTCACGCGACTATTATTGTACCGAGTCGAGGTGTCGACGTACAAATCACCGTATGGACGTTTTTCGTTGACATTTTACGCTAACACACGCGAACGCGTGCTGGCAGACGCAATAAAGTTGGTCCTACCGAGGAAGGAAAAAAAATATTCCGCGTCATTTGTTAGGCGAGCCGCGCTGCGGGGGAGTGTGAGAGAGCAGTGGTGCGTAGTCCGTCTGTGCGCACGATCATTCGAGCTTGTCATTTACCTGACGCTAGAAGAAGTGGATCGGTGCTAGTATCCCTTACCTGTCCATGTTGTTTTGTAATTCGACTTTTATTGGACTGTTTCCCGTCGATTGATTTTTATTGTTGTAATCATTCTTCGGTTTCTCTGCAACAGACAAGAAAACAAGGAAACGTTTATTAATCGCTCACACTTATTCACTAGGATGCTGCATGTTACCGGACAGCAAGCAATTTCGTTCTCTCCTCGGGCCTCCTTCCTCACGGAACTGCTCGCGAGAGCCTAGAAGAGATCGGCGCGGACTCCCTCGGTTACGATAATTCGTCGCCGAGCTGCGGAAAAAATCGATCGAGCATCGAAACCGGAGTATCAGTGGTTTGGCACAAGCGCAGCGCACGAGCGCTTACGAAAGAAGGAGGGTACAAAGCGTCGGCTCGTCCTTGTCCTGTCCGGCCCCCTTTTTACGGAGCACAAGGCGGAGCCGTACTCTCTCTCTCTCTCTCTCTCTCTCTCTCTCTCTCTCTCTCTCTCTCTCTCTCTTAAATTAATTAGCGCGTCCGAGGCTCAAATCTATTATGTATAAAGTTTTCTTTGGCGTACGTGCGCGTGTTGGATCTTCCCGCTTGTCCGGCAGCCTTTGCAACGAAAAGGGGGATTGGATCAGCGCCAGCGACGCAGAGAGAAGAGGAAAAACAGCGCGCGACGATTAGCCGCGGAGCGGTGGACGCGCCTTTCGTTCTCGCGGCGACTGCAGCAGCTCCGGGGCCGGCTGGCCGAGGCCTTTCCGCGAGAGAAAGAAGGCGTTGCGTGGAATCGATAAGTATACGATATTTGCCGCTGGCCCGCGCCAAGAGCCCTGCTCCGGACCACCTGCGAGGCGGCGGCGGCGGCGAGCGCCTCGGTTTTCACGCGGCTTCCATCTCTGGGCGGAGGTTGCGCTGGCCGCTTTTCTTGAAAAATCGGAGTCTGGCGCCCTTTATAGCGTCTAATTACGGAGCACAGCTGCTGCCAAACAAAGAGCGCGCGCGACAGCTCTATCCCGCGATGGGAATGGCTCGCGCGCAGGCCAATTTTCACGGCGAACGCAAATCGAGGAGCGAAAGGAGCGAGCGCGGCCACGAGATCCTGCCGCTCCGAAAATCGCGCCGATCGATCAGCCCCGAGGCGACTTTGATCTCTCGCGCGCTGCTGCGTGCGCCAGCGGCCAGCGCGCCAGCTCATTGCGCAAAATCAATCTGGCATTGTTGGCGCGCGAGCCCGAGAAAAATGATAAGAGGCGTAGCGAGCGTTCGGCTGGGCGCTCGGCTGGGCGCTCGGCGTGGGAAGGACGCGCACGGCACAGAGGGAGGGACAGCCCCGAGCTAATTGACGGTTGCCGGGTTTGCTGCCCCCTCCGATTATGCCGATTACGGCTCAGGCCTCGCGCCTCGTGCTCGGCGCTGCTGCCTCTCGCGGCCCTTCATTTTCGTATTTTCGGGCCGGTCCGAGCGCGCGCGCCAACGAGACCAGGCCACGCCGGCCGACGACCGAGTTCCTGGGAAAGCTCTCGCAGGCGGATCATGCCGCGATCAAAAATAGGAAGAAAAAGCTCTTTGTGCGCGATAGGTCGGCCGGTTTTACAACGCGCAAAACGCGCTCTCGGCTCGGAGAACCGAGCAGCCTGGAGGCACTCGAGAAGGCAGCGGCCGAAACAAAAAGGGGAAAAAGAAGAGAGCCCTCGAAGAAAACGTGGAGCATGGCATAAAGAGAGGCTGGCTGACCCGTCGCGCAGGTATAATATGAGCCGAGAGTCAATGAGTTCGAAGGGCGCCGTAAATCAGACGTCTCGCTCGCATGCTTCCTCCCACGAGCGTGTCGCTCCTCTCTGCCTGCCGCCTCCCTCTCTACCGTTCGCCGTTCGCCGTTCGCCGCTCGTCCCGTCCCTACTCCCGCGTCTAGCTCTGCTCTCTCGGAAAAGCAAAAGACACGTTGCGCTGGGCTTTGTGCGCACTGGCCAAACCGAGTGGGCCGTTTAGGCCGCTGCCGCCTCCAATTATTCCATGCGCGCCGGAATGCCGAGCTCGGAGATGGACGTTTTTGTCAGTGTTATTTGGTGCCCGCGTAACTGGAAGCTAATGGCCGGAGCTTTGACGCATCCGCAAGGGAGAGGAGGGAGCCCAGCTGGCGATAAGATAGAGCGAGAAAGGAAAAAACAACAGCGACTGCCGGACAAATATTTTCCTTGGATTTTTCTGGAATTTCGGGCCCGCTTATCGGCCAGATAAGCCCGCGGAAAAACAGCGTGTGATCGTGGCCGGTTGCGTGGTCCGAACAGCGGAATAGCGGAGCGGCGGCGACGACGAAGGAGCCGATACGACTAACTGACTGTCAGACTCACTGGATATGTTGTAGAAGTTGCCGGACGGCGTGCGCACCAGGCAGGAGGGCTCGAGCTCGGGGTCGCGCTCGTGGTCGCCGAGGACCTGGTGCTGCTGCTGCTGTTGCTGCTGCTGCGACTGCTGTTGGGACTGCTGCTGCTGCTGCTGCTGCTGCTGCTGGGACTGCTGCTGGGAGCCGGGCAGCCTGCCGTTCAGCCGGCTCATTGTCGGGTTGCGCGGCGGCACATCGGGCGGTCCCCGCGGCGCGCCCGCCACGCCGCTGTCCAACAGACACCCTGTCACAACAACAACAGCGCTCGGTTACACGTCTTGCGCGGACCCTGCACCCTTTCTTTTCGCCTGGTTAGCTGGCCCTTTCTCCCTGTTTTAGTGCTTTAGCCTTCGCCTGCTACGGACAACTTGGCTCTTGGACCACGACGAGGCAGCCAAGTGCGTCGTTGTATTACCGCCGCAGGAAAAGTGAAGCAAGCGCTATGTTTGGGTTAGTCATGGTTATTCGACGGAGGACTGCGCGAGGAGGTGAGCCGCCGCTCCGCGCGCTTCTTCCGCACAAAAGAGGGAATAAACGCGTAGGCGATCGAATCATCGCCGCTCGGTCGCACAAATTTCCCGCGGCCGCTCCGCCCTCCGACTCTCTCTCTCTCTCTCTCTCTCTCTCTCTCGCCATTGTGTCGCTCTGCCGCTCTCGGCAGAGGAGACGCGCGCGCGTCAAAAGCTTTCCCGGAAAGACGTGCCGCCCGGCATTAAGCACCCTAATGAACGCTCGGCCTACCATTCGAGTGGCTACCGTGTCGCGCGAGTTTCGGCGATCGACGCTCGATCGGCGTACGCTGCTCCGGTGCTCGAGTGCAGAGCGGGTCTGCGCAGGTGGAAAGAGCAAGCGCGTGGACGACTGGAGGACCCGTCGAGTGGGCCTGTCGGCGGGCCTTGATTCTCGAGCGAGCGCGACAATGCAGCTGCTCCTCGGTCTGATAAACTCCATTAGCCACGGTGATGGCCTCTTTTGGCCTCTTTTTACTTCGCCCGGGAAAGCGCTGCGCCGATTATCCAGCGGCAGCTGATCGATCATCCGATTTCTCATTGTTCGCCTCTTCCAGCCTGCGCCTGTCGCGCTCGAGAGCCCTAGCACAATGTTTCTCCTCTTTGTCGGCCGGGCCTGGGCCCGCGAGCAATCTTAATAGAGACGCGCGAGCTCGTCGATGCATTGTGCCGCTGACGACGGCTCGCTGCCTCGTCGGAGCGCGAACGCAACCGATCGCGCGCTTCTGTCCGACGGCATAGCTCGGCGCACTCACGCGGCCCCGTGGAGAAGCTCGTCTGTACCGCCACGGCCAAATGGCCAATCGAGCGCGGCCGACTCGAGGAGCGAGACGGCGCAGGGCAGAAAGCGCGCGGGGAGTGGCACACCCACGCGGCCGGGACGGGGCTTGCGAAAACGAGCAGAGCGCAGCAACCGCTATTGTGGAGGACGCGTAGGCGAACGCCGCGTGTAATAATGATACCCAGCCGCCGCCGCCGCCGCCCGCGCTATTGTTCTATGCAAATGCAGAGCTCTCTGCCGCCGACCCATAAATATCACTGGCACTGGCCCGAAAAAACCGTGAGCCTCGGCCTTTGTGCAGAGGACAAACTGCCGCGGAGCGTCGCCTTCTCCTTTCCAGTCCCGGAGGGATACGCGACGTGCGCGCAGCAGACTCGCCAAAGCCGCGCTGGGACGGCTCAGCGAGCTTCGCGGATCTGCGATCGCCGTCCCGTCGGCTCTCGACCCGCCGAGATCCCCGAATCGCAGGGTCGCGTGTCGGAGCTGGATGGGCCGAGTGCTCCGCGTTCATCGCGATTCGCAGCGCTGAACGAGAAGCGAGAACAACCGGTCGGGTCTCTCGAGGGCAGCTAGCCGTGGACGCGGCGACGCTACCAGCACCGGCCGTGCGTGGGTGGGCGTCAACGATGCGGAGATCGAAAGTCCAAAAAGAAAGGTTCGTGCTCGAGTCGCGTTGCCGACCTACGCCGTCGAATCGACAGATTCGCCACGCGACCGCGCACTCGCGATCCACGGTACAACACCTTTCTGCGTGGCTTGACGCGTCGCGCAGCCACACGCCGACTGCTGACCTACATATATTGACAGCGGCGCATTTTCCAGTGGAGAGGACGTTCCGTGATAAGTTGGCAGCGCGGGGCGGTCGATCAATTCTCGGCTGCTCGCTCTCTTTCTTACTTCTCGCCGGCACAACTCGTCGGCTCGTAAAGTCTTTAAAAAAGGTGAGCGCTGCGTCGAGGGAAAATCCTTACTCGTGTACTGGCATCGAGCAGAGCTCGGCGAGCATCCAATAAACAATAAAGAGGGAAAAAACGAGCGACGAGCCGAGTCGAGAGGAACAGGGAAAGGAAAGACGCCCACCCTAAATTCCGGCTCGTGCGCCGTAACCCTCGCTCGAGCTCCTCCTTGCAAGCCGGAGGTCGGAGGGAAGCTTCCTTCGCGAGGATGAAAGGAGGCCACTCGTTAGCGACACGTGCACACCAGCATATCGATCCCTTCGGCCAATACTCCGCTCGCCGAAAGACCAATCTAATTGCTCGATAAAGCCCCGACGAAGATACGGCTTCTATAAGATGTGCGATTTTTGCTTCTTCGGCCGACAGCCGATGGATATCGCGTTATGCCCGACTAATGTCTCTCTATCTTTCTGGGGTGGCGCGATTCCGTTACCAGGGGGACGCACACTTTTCCATTTCATCGGCACGGACTCTGAGATATTTGGATTTGGAAATTGATGGGACCGCCTAGACTCGCTATGACTACTTGGAACAGAGCGGCGAGACTCCTTTTAACGAGAAACTTGTGCAGTTTTTTTCGACCTTTCCGTCAGATGGGGCATTGTTTCTAATTGAAAAACGAACTCCTTCCTGCTACATTATACATCAATTACATCGTCTATTTGCAAATGCAACGTCGTTTTGCCCGAAGCTAACTCTCCGCGAGACTGTCCTTTTTATCAGCAATGTCATTCTAATGAAACGATCGTCTCTTTCCGACGAGCGAGAGCTACTTTGACGTTTGCGATGGCACCGTTCACGACATTTTTTTCGAAAGAACGAATATGGTTGGTCAATCTCTGGCCGTTGGATACTGGAATATTCATCGAACACGACGCGATGCGATCTCTCGATAACGCGATTTCCAATACGAAGCCGAATTTCTACGAAACATTCTCGCTTTTCCACGTTATATTTACGCCCATGTTTACAACGAGACAAATTTCGAAGGAGTCTATTTTGAGCGCGCGTACGCAGGCTTGTTTTTCCACCTTGATATCGCGAGAAAATAGCTATCGCAACTCTCTGATGCTCGACACATCGCAAGTCAAACCGGAAAGGAAAGTTCATCAGAAATGTAAATCTTTCGGAGTGGCGCTCACGCCGAATGCCACGAGTGGATTTTTCGCCGCGAGGAAAATGCGCCCAATTAAAAAAGAAACTGACTCGTCGGAGATACTTATCCGACGTGTGCGCCCGAGCACTGGCGGAAAATAATTAGCATAACGAGGTAAGGTGATCCTTCTCGGACAATTTTTGCCGCTCGAAGCAGGATTTTCGGTGAAGCGACTAATCGGCCGCGAGCATCTGCTCACGTAGGCGTCGGCGAGAGCTCGGGTTACAGGACAAAACTCTCGAGCGATGCAGCCTCGTAAAGATGACGCTCGTTTCGCGTGCGCTCGCGGATTAACTTTCTAGGCCTTATTTAGGAATGCCGTGGAAACGTGAGAGCACACTTTTTTCGACGACCAATCTCACATTCGTCGACAATGTTGCTGCGCTGATTACTTGTTTTTTCATTATTCGCTGGCTTGTTGCTGCTCTTAGTCTGCGCGCGCAATCGCCGGAAAGCAGCACAAGGGACAGATAGTCGAGCCGACGAGGTCGGGGGGCTGCAATCGGAATTGACGTCACGTACGTTGAACTTTTTATCGGCGCGGCTCGATCGCAGGGCCTTCGGCTGCTTAGTCGTGCGCCAAAAAAAATCATTTTTTTGCTCGTTTTCCCGCGATATTTTCGCAAAAACAAGACTCGAGAGCTTTTCGCGCGTACGACCGACACTCGACCTACACCGAGCGCTGTTTTCCCTCGGCGGTCAGGCGCTACACCCGAACCCCCACAGCTCCCGCACTAAAATTAAGCGAATCGCATTGACGAGCACAGCGGCACTGTTCCGCGCGACTCTGCACTAGCTAATCGGTTGTTAGTTGCGAATACAGGTAATAAGAAGCGTTGGCCCCACCACGATCCGATTCAAATTCAAAATCACACAGCACAGGGGAAACTGTCGGGGAATCACTGAGCAACAAGAACTGCGAGCAAATTGAGCCAACATCCAAACGGGCGACAGGGAGGCGGTGTAAGTTTGAACTTGAACGTTGCGTTGCGGCGGGGGCGGCGGCAGCAGCACATATACACAGAACAGCCCCCAGTACATGTATCTAATACTTAAGAGAGCGTGAGTGAAGCAGCACAGAGAGCAGAGATTGTAAGATGATAGTTGATGGTGGTGGCTATCTACCTTCTCGGGCAACGTAATACCGAACCTCGTACTCTCGCTCCCGCATAGAGACCAACTTTTTTAACTATTTCTCGGCACGACAACTTTTTCAACCTAACTGTATGAGTCGCGCACAAAACAACAACAACAACCAAACAAATTGCACTCTTTTCTCGATCGACGAGAACACTTCTGAGAACGTTATTTGGCGAAGGCTAGGCGACGAGGAGGAATGACGGATGAAGAGGACTACCTCTGGCGGTGCCGTAGCAGTAGGTGTACTCGTTGTAATCGCAGCTTGGCCTCTTCAACAGGCCTTCGCCTGTCGGCACTAGATCCAGCAGCACGGCCGTCGGGTAGTGCATGCCAGCCTGCTCCTGGTAGTGCTGGCAGTCTTCGCGGTGATGGTCACACATCGCACTTTTTCTATATCTCGACCTATCCTCTTTGCTCTTCCCCCTGTCAAATCACTTTCATCGCACTGATTCCTTCTTCGCTCGCGCTTTCTGTCTTCGATGATACGACAGCGTTGTAGTCGAACGGAACGAACGAAACGAACGAAAAACAACGGAACTCGCTGGTCGCGGGCGCTCGCTCTCTCGTGGCCGACTCATGTACTCGAGCGAGGCGGTCCGCACGCTTGCGCCGTCGGCGGCTGACTGAGCTCTGCTCCCAGTGTCAGGGATGAGCGAGAGCGGAGAGAACAGAGCGCTCAGAGAGAGAGAGAGAGAGAGAGAG